AATCCTCACTATGTTAAAATGCGTAGATTCTAGGGAAGCCTAACTGAATATTCAAACTGAAATTTCAGGATGATTAGACCTCTTTTTGACTGCTAAAAGCTGTCGTTGTGTATTAACTGCCCTCCTCCTTTAAATCCCTCATCATCATCCCTGCTACTCTCTCATAATTCCCCAAAAACGTCAAAATTTCTCTCTTCTCTTTTCTTCCGAAATTCAACCCACCCATATTCTTCCTCACAGAATCAAGAGAAATGACTAACCCTCAAGATAACCCTGGTACACCTCCTCCACCTACCCCCTCCAGTTCCTCCACTACTTCTCAACCTAGCACTACCCCTCAACCTAGGAAAAGGCGAGTAAAAATGCTAGCTCGAAAAACAATGGCTACAGGTGCGCTTTCAAGGAAATTAAACGCACAGTTACAGGCTAGTCAATCCCAAGACTCCCAAAATTCTGATGAATTTTTCAAGTCGGCGACTGAGGGGAAAGGAATTCTGAGCAGGTAACATCTGTGCAAAATCCTTTTACTGAGGTCATCTCTGATTTGGCCGAAAATTTGGAAAATAGATTTATATTGGTTGGGTCTATGGTGGATGTGGAAACGTATGAGTCAAGAAGGAGAGGAGGTAAAAATAAAAGAGAAAAAGAAAATGAGAGTGAGGGTGTTGAAGTGATGAGAGGGGAATAGGGAAAGAAGTGGCTGATTCTTCACCCACCTCCGAAACTGTTAAAAAGGTTATCTGTGGAGCTGAACCAGAAAAGGTGGAAGAAGGTAGCAAGAACGCAGAGGGAAGTGGATCAGGAGAAGCCGCTGAAGGGCTAGTGAATCTTGGAAATCAAGCAGATGAACCCGGTTCATCTTTTGAGGAAACACTGGCTGATCTATTGAAAAAGATAGGTGACAGTTACAAACCCAAGAAGACAAGAACTCCTAAAGCAACGACCCCTGGCACAACTAGAGCCAACAAGAAAAGGAAGGCGGCTCTTTCTGAAACTTCTGAAATTCCTCTCCCAAGAGGAAGAACTACAAGGAGCAAGTTAAAGCAAGGTGAGGAGGAGTTGCAGAAAGCTTTAGCAGAGAATAAGAAGAAAAGAGTGGAAAAGGGGAAAGAAAAAGTGGTTGAGCCTGTTGAAGTAGATGAGATGGACCTGGTCCATCAAGGTGAACAGGCAACTGTTGAGGTGGAGGTTCAGACCCCTAAGCCCAAGAAAGCTAAGACTTCCTCAAAGAAGTCTTCATCTTTATCTAAGTCTGTTGAACCCTCTACCTTGGCTAAACGGACCAGGTCTGCAGTGAAAGCCAAGCAAGTGAAAATTACTAAAGAAGAAGAATGGAGTGGTGAAGAGGAGGATGAGTCTGATAATGAAAAGGACAAGCTGGCCAAGTTTGGCAAACGAACTCTCTTGAAGGGCAGACTCTTGAAGGACTTGGAGGAAGAAGGGATGGTTCTACTGCTTGAAAAGATAGAGGTACAAGGGTGGAAGGACATGGTCCTTCAGATAGATGGAAAACTGTCAAGGAATGAGATGGTTGAATTCATGGCTAATGCTGAGGTAAAGGATGGCAGAGTCACCAGCCTGTTGAAAGGGGTTCAAATTTCTTTTGATGCAAAAGAGCTGGGTGAAATACTTGGTATACCCTCTGAAGGCTATGATGATTATACAAGGCAGAAATGGCCAAGTCTGGACTCTCTTCCTACTACCCTGGCCATAACTAGGAAGTTCTGTGATAATGAAGAAGAAAGTGAGCCCAGGGCTGTTTATAAGAGTGAAATGAAGCCACCTCACATGGTGTTGTGAGTGTTGCCTCGGCAGGAAAGAAAGCACATTGCCAACTACATGGATTTGGTTTTGATGGAATGTCTGGATAGTGGGCGGCATATCAACTGGCCTAGGTTTATAATTAAGCTTCTAGATCGGGTTATCAATGGCTCCAAGGCCCATGCATTCCTTATGGCTTCATTCTCACTACTGATCTTGCTCATTGTAAGGTGTCACTGAAGAAGTGTAAGATGGCCACAAGCTAAGACCATTTTGGAATCAATACTCTTCTTGCTTGTGATCATGAGATCAATGTCATTCCCAATGAACCTGGTTCATCTAATAAGACACCTGTCAACAGCAAGGTAAAAGCCCTAGTACAGGAGAATGGGGCAAAGGATGCTGAGATAGCAAGGCTGAAGACTCATTTGGCTGAGGTAGAATCTGAGAGAGATGCTCTTAGAACTGAGCTCACAAAGGAAAGGGAGAAGAATGATGGAATTCTTCAAGACATGCTGCATATTCTCCAAGCCAAAACCTAAGCCCCCAGTTCTTCCAAGCTTTAATTTCCTAGTCCTTGCCTAGACCTTTCAGTGACCCAGATTCGGGATGTTTCTTGTTGTTGCTCATGTTTTAAATGTTTTTTTTTTGTGGATTGTGGCAGAATCATATTCTCTATCAATGAAGTTTGCTGCTTTTGCTCTTATTGACTGTCTATATTTCCTTGATAGTTTAAATTAGTAGTTGATTATTGATGATTAATCCATGAATGCAGTTGCAGTTGCCCCAGCGGCCATGAGTAATTTTTAACATCTGGGAATCACACATTTTTTAGGTAACTTTTTGATGATGCCAAAAGGGGGAAAAGAAGTTGTGCTTTATACTCTGAACAGTGATGTTTATAACCTAATGAACCTGGTCCTTGATGATAAGTGATAAAAAGGAAAATTGTTTCTAACATTGTGTTGATGTTGACCTGAGTTTAAACATGGCCTAAATGTATGAAAAGCACAGAGTTTGTCATCATCAAAAAGGGGGAATTTGTTGGCCCAAGGAAAAGGATAGTTTTGAAGGATGACAAAGGAACTCAGAAATGAACCAGGTCCATCACTGGTAGTCATAGTCACAGGCAGACTCAAGGCACGTGAGATGCACATTCAGGGGATAAACATATTCTGGCATAATGGATATTCCCTGATCGAAAAGATTGCATAAATGATAAGGAGAAGGACTCCTTACTCAAAGAGAACATTATCCAAAATAAGGAAGGATTTAGTAGTTGAGATCAAATAGAACTCCTCCACCAAGGAAGAGTAGCATTATAACTCTAATTATTTCTTCATCTACTAACTCTATATATGGAAGAATGTTCTCATTTTACAGGTACGCACATAAGCAGAAGTTAAACGTGAATTGATAGCAAAATACTAAGGCAATTTTGCAAGCAGTTCGTGTGTGATTCAAGTGTGCAAACCTGAAGCTACATGAACCAGATACAAAAACCAGTTCCAAGTGTTTGTCTTTTATTCTAGTTCAATTGTAGTAGGTGTTTTCATATTGTAACTTTTAGCTTTATCTAGAGGCAATTGTAATAGGTACTCAAAGTATTCAAGTTAGAGCTAACTTGAAGTTGTCGCAACAGTTAGAGGTTGTGTGCTACGACGGGATTAGAGTTAGTCCTAGTTTTGCAAAAGAGTTTTTGTAAATGCAGTTTTTGGCTTAGTGAGTTTAGTGGAGAGTTTGGGAAAATCCTACTAGAAAGTAGGTCGTGGTTTTTTTACCTTTTGAGCCAGGTATTTTCCACGTAAAATACTTGTGTTCTTTACTTTTTGCATTTACTATTTCTGCAATAGTAGGTTAAGGAACACTTAGAAGAACCAGGTCCTTCCATAATCAGTTTAAGCGAAAAATTGGACACCACACAATCCCTCCCCTCCCCTCTTGTGTGGTATTGAAGTATAAAACATCAGTTAATCTCTTGAGCAATTATGCAAAATACTCATTGAGCTTAAATTAATTATCCTTTTCTACTTATTTGAAAACTAGTTACAATATATATCTACCCAATTAAGACTAATTACCCAATCTGTACCCATCCAATTTTTCTTACCCAATGGCTTAACATAGCTTGATTTGGCTTGGATTTGTTTGATTTGGTTTAGATTGAATAAGCTAGGCTTGACTTGATTTGGTTTGGTTTGGCATGAATTGGCTTGGCTTGGCTTTGTTTTATATGGTTGGATGGGCTGGGCATTCAAAAAAATGGGTAGGAGGAAAACTTTATGGGTAGGGGCGCTGGGGCGGACGTACTGTTATAGGTACGAGTTCAATTGAACCCATAACTCTCAATGTAGAGCATAAATTTGTGTAAAAATTTATCAGAATTGCAGTAAATAGTAGAGATGAAGCCATAACTTTAAAATTACAATGGGTTCAAAGCTAAAAACCCTAAAAGTTTAATCCATAAAATTTAAATCACGAATCTGCCTCTGTAGGAGCGGGTGAATAGTTTGTGGTGGGGGTAGATTTGCAAAAGATCCCCTAATTTCTTACTAACTTAATGGTCCACACACTGGGATGTAAAATATGTAAACATGTAATTTACTAGAATGATTTTTCTTTTTGAAGAGAAAGAAAGAGATCCAACATCGTGGAAATTGCAAGTAAAGACTTTTTGAATGCAAGGCTAGCCTTTGACTATACGTTTATTTATAAAAATAGGTAATCTCTAAAGAGGATAAATACCCATTCTATTTTGAGTTTAACTTGATATACTCCCTTGGTTCACTTTTAATTGCTACTTTTGACTTTGTATTCTTTTTAAGAAAAAGCAAATACAATATGTATTTAATAATTTTACCTATCATAATAATAACATTTTCAAAAGTCTTGGGAAATGATTTATGGAATGGGTAGTTAATGATAAATGTAAAATAGGAAAAAAATTGTCTCTTTTCTAGATTTAGTATAGTGAGCAAGTAAAAGTGAAAATATATTATTAGTATAATAGAAACAAATAAAAGTGAACGAAGGGAATATAATCGATAGTGTAAAAAAACGTTCTATACTATCTAGCATTTACTTGTTTTCTTTTTAAAATTACAAATTTTAGTTTTATAGAGAATTACTTTATAGAGATCTTTTGGACGACTTGATCATAATTATATATATATATATATATATAATTGACTATAATCCCAATTGTTAAAAAGTAAAGTAAAGGAAAAGAAAAAGAAAAGTATAAACTAAAAGGTCAGTACATTTTATTCACTCAAGATTAAACGCCAGAATTCCCGCTTACAAAGTACTTAAAAGCCAAGATTCTAGAGGCATTTTTTATTCTCTCAACATTACAAATCCTAATATTACTTCACATAGCATAAAACATAGGATTTGAGTACATTGCATTACATTTGATTTTACATTTCTTAGGCATATTGTTGCCTACCAGATCTAGCACCTGGTCCAAAAACATTCAACTCATCCCTATTATACTTCAAACTCCTTGCCTCTTGTCTCGAAATCTGGTACGAGTTCATCAGAACTTCCTCGGGCATGGCTCGGATGGCGGACAACCTCCCGGCTAACGGGCTGGTCATGGCGTTATCGTTGGTCTTGAACGTGATGTACTCGAGCCCTTGTTCTCCTGCCCTCTTCACCAACGCGAAGTTTTGAGGCACGACGAGTAGCTGACCCTGCCTTACCTCGTCGTTGAACACGGATCGCCCGGCATTTCCTACCACCTGAATTCGGCCGCTTCCTCGGATAATGTAGATGATTGCGTGTGCGTTCATGTTCCAGTGTGGTGCCACTATAGCATTCTGAAAAACCATGCAACAAAGTGTCACACATTCATATATAGTTCCTCCACTTGTCATTTATATCCCAATTTATAACCTGAAGAATTAACTTATATATAGACACTGACTATATTATAAACAACAACAACAACAACAAACCCTTGGGAAGGGTAAGATGTAAGCTTACCCCTACCCTGAAAGGGCAAAGAGGTTGTTTCCAATACCGACCATATAATAAGTGTAGGTAAAAATATTTATACATGATTAACATGGTTTAAACTATTTAATCTTGATCAATTCAATTGAAGTATTAGTGCTAGTTCTATTATACAACAAAAATCCCTTTGTTTTTTCACCTTGTTCAAACTTCAAATAATAGTTGTACTAGTACCAAATTCTATATTTAAAATTGCAATATATATTGTTTAACTTGTTGTAACAAATCACTTTATGTATAAACAATAGCGCCAATTATCTTTTTAGAGAGATTTGTGTAGTTATCCTTTCAGGGGTCGTTTGGTTGAGAAACATGTTATACAGGGATTAGTAATGAATATTTTTTATCGACTATTTGATTCATTAAATTAAACTCTTGATATAATTGTCACGTTAAGGGATAAAGAATTACCCGGTAGAGGGTTCCTCTTTCAGCACTGAGTTGGAGAAAGTTGAGGATAGGGAGAGTCAAACCGTTGACCGTGCTAATGCGACCGCCACGTGGATTGTACACGTCAGCTCTAGTAGGATGGCCAATGTTTTCCCTCAACTTCATTGTGCAAAAAGTTTCTTCCAATCCATTCAAAGGCCAACTTCCTCCTCTTCTACCTTGTTGCCATTGTTGTTGTTGTTCTTCTTCTGATTCTTCGGGTTGGAGAAACCGAAGGTTCTCCGCCCGGACGATGACTCCCCTTTCGGGGGCTTGTTCTTGTAATCTCCTAATTATTTCAGGATCGACGTTGAAAGCATCGGACAAAAGCTGCGCGTCGAATCCGCTCAAGATGTTGCCTCCTCTCTCTTGTTCACCTCTTCTTCCTAGGCCAGCTCCCTCTTGTTGTCTTCCTAACATTTGTTGTTGTACACCACGTTGAGGATTTCCAGCAAGGAAGAATTTCTGCAAATTTAAATTCAGTCAAATAATTACCATGATTTTGTTACAATTTATGTCTAAAAAGTCAAAATTAGGAGTCAATTAAGTTTAGATTAGAGCATCTTATAGTCTAATTTAACATTAAAAATGATAACATTGAATGTTGTCGTGTAGGCCTTGTTAGCAGGGACGTATCTAGCGTAGAAGCTATGAGATATGGTAGAAATATATACAAATAATAAATTTTGAACCTATTAAATTAGATGAGATAATAGGTCAAATTGTGAATCTGAACCTATAAAATTTAAATCCTGGATCTGCCTCTACTTGTTAGTGGTACCAAATGATGTCATTCTATGTTATCGAAGTCTCTAAACCTGTTGTCACACTTATATCGGATCCCCTAAATATGCATTCTTTTGAATAATCCGAAATACACTGGACGTTGCTCGAACTTTTCGAAAATACAGTCACACCCGATAAATCCTCCAAAAACGCACTTCCAAAAATGCACTACTTTACAAGTTCCAAAAATGCACCACTTTTGAGTATCTGACACTCATTACACGTTGCTCGGCCTCTCCAAAAATGCTGACACACCCGAATTAGATCCTCAATGAATGCACAACTTATGCACTATTTTTGGAGGATCCAATGCACAACAGACATTTTTAAGAGTCCGAGCATAAACATTTCAGTATTCTATTTTAAATGGTAATATTATTCTTCATTTATTTTCTTTAAAACACAAACTGAGTTTAGAAAATGAATATTAAGACAATTCAAGAATCAGCAGTTTACTTACCCTGAAGGTGAGATCAAGTTGATTGGCCTGGTTGGAAGTGTCAATAAGAGAGACACTAATAATTGGTTCTTCACCATCATTGTAAGTCCAATGAGTAACACCAGCAGGTAAAGCAAGAATATCACCAGCTCTAAAACGTCTAACTTTCTGGTGACGATCATTGAATCTCTGTCCAGCTTCTCCTCTTTCTCCCCTTTCTCCCCTCCTGGATTGTGCTGACTCTGTCTCGAATGTCTCAGCACAACCCGGGAACACAGTCGAATGCACTCCACTTCCTGCATTCGATCAGATTTTTTAGTCACACAAATGTTATGACATATTTACGATCACAAGTGCTAACTCGAACCTTAACACGTACACATATACTCCCTCTGTCGTCCAATAATACAAACAATGGCAGATGCAGGATTTTCGTTAGCGGTAAAAAAAAAGTTAAAAAATTAAAAAAGATTGTAGTCAGTGGGAACCCCTTGACTATTGAGCTATGCTTTTGGGTTGTTGCAGTAAGATTTAAAATATAGTAATATATAAAGGCATAAAACGAATTTTGCCATATATATAGTGTAATTTTCAGACGATGTTCGATGAACCCTCTTCATCTCCTGAATTCAAAATAGTCACAATACTTAGTAAACTAAAATATTTAGAAAATATTAAAGAGAATTGTGGTCAAACAAAAGTCGGAAAAGTAATTGTGTCACATAAATTAAAACAGATAAAGCATATATACGTGCCTTGAATTATGTAGATGAGCTGGGGAGTGTTGCTGTAGTAAGGCAACAAAAGTCCGTTTCGTCGGATTTCATGCCTGACGGCTTGAACTCCGGCACACTCAAATTGCTCCTGAGTATGATCCCAGAACTCAGTTACACCAGCCTCAGACTCGAACCTACGAGTAGGTTCCTGAGCATTCAGGCGCTCAATCCGACACTCAGTTCTGGATCTGAGCGCCCGATGTTGCTGCTGCTGTTGCATCCTCTGCCAAACTTGCTGGTGCTCAAAGATCTGAGCAAAAGTACCATGGAAAAGAAAGAGGAAACAAAGGCTAAAACAAATGAGAGAGGAGTTAGAAGCCATTGCTTTTTCTTGTTAATTACACTTACACTCTTTGTGCTGATGGGAAATGGAGAAGAGAAAGGGTTAGAATATATAGGGAAGGAATTCAAGGATTAGGTTTGACACGTACTTGTTTGCATGGATAAAAGGGTTGATTGGTTTACACATACGTAGAGGATTTGTGGTAATGTGGCGAATGGTTTCTGCATGCAGAAAGAGTCATTTCTTTTGTGTTTGTATTTGCATGGCCTTTGTATTTTTTCACTCGCTAGCATAGCACTCCTAGTTCGAATATTGTCTAATTCGTTAACACTTGTTTTCTCTTTTGATAGAAGAGTTCAACTAGGTTTAATTTATTTTATACATTGATAATGTAAATAAAAATTTTACACTATTAAATTGCTCAAAATATTTATAGTAGATAACATTACATAAAAACCCGAGATTTGTAATTTTGAAAATACAGTAGATTACTTGCTATAATAGGAAAATGTGAGCTGATAGTATAGAAATTTCTGACACTGTCGGTCATGAATATTATTAGTTAAAGTACTCGTCTTATTTTCAAGATTACAGATTTTACTATTATGAAAAATTATTTGTAAATGTCTTTGAGTGACTTGAAATTATATGTTACATTACATGGAGTCCGGAATCAAAATGATATAAATCACCAACTTAATCACGGGAATAAAAATAAATTGAACATTTCTTTGTTTTAACGGAGTTAAAAACTGACGGCGTGAATATTTAAACGGAACAACATGTCGCCATTACGGCAAGCGGCGTACTACTCACACGATTTTTTTTTTTTTTTTTAATTATTAGTAGTATAAAAGATGATTCTTTTCATCTCATTGTATCTCAAACCACTTAGCTCTCATTTTCTTAACACTAAAATGAGTTTATTATTGCAATATTTTTAAGTCTAAATTAATTCAAATACAAACTAATTTGTGTCTCAATTTTTTTAATTAGATAAAAAAAATTAACAAATATAAATTATTTATTTAAATAACCGATTACTGATACTTATAACTGTAAAATTCAATTAACTAAATTTAACATATACACACTGTCTATCGGGTATCTTTTTCATAGGCAATCCCATTCGTCCCATTTGCCATACTCAGGTGGCAAAATTAACCATTCTCTCTATTTCATTTCACGTGGCACTATTTTATTATAGTCCACTCGAATGCAAAATAATAATAAAATATTTTTATATTTAAAAATAATTTAATTTTTAAACTTCTCATTATCCCTTAATTTTAAATATTGCTATAGAAATCCCATCGCATGTTTAAAAAACTACAATGTCCAAACTAACTTTCTTTCTTTCCTAAACGTAATTGCATTCCCTGTCGAATTATGCTGCATAAATTGAAACGGGGGAAGTACCGGGTACATGTATTTTTACAAGATTCCATATATAGCATCGTATTATGCTTCGACACGGCAAGCGGACGGATTGGATCGGGCCAGATATTTGCTAATACCGGGTACATATATTTTTACAGATGTTTTCCTTCATACCAAACACACCCGTAATTTTTAATTTGCTAATAAAATAGATTATATTTTAACATCTGTAATAACTTACAAAATTTTAGATCGTGGTCTATGTTTCGTTATAAGATTTTCGGTTTATTCAAAACGTATTTTTACATTGTGGCTAAAATATCCATCAACTGTAAGAAAAATAAAAGGAGGGTCATTTACTAGACAACTGATACCAAAAGAGATAAGTGGAGAAGAATGATATTGACAAAAAGATTAGAGATATTATTAACTTCGAAAGAATGTAAATTAAAAAATAAGTTACTTGTGGCTCAGTATGTAATAGATCATCCAATCTCCAATTTTGAAATTGTTGGTACTTTCTCCTTGGCATGCATCTCAAAATTTTTGTTTATAATAATAGATTAATTTCAAAAAACATCTTTTTTAAGTGAGAGTAGGGACTAAACGATCTTCTATCTTGTTACGATCATATATTTATGTTAAAAATTGCATGTTTTAGGTGATATTGTCAAATTATACGTGACAAGAGCACTTTTTTTAAAAGGTAAAAGCTCTATTTAAGACGTCTATAATTAATACAAAAATTGAATTTATGTTACATTAACTGATAGTATAAATAATTCTTACATCATAGATCAATTTAACCGATTATAGCAGGTTACTCTTCTATTTTTCAGATTGTCATATCAGACTTGCTATGAAGATTTACCTATTGTTGTAAGTAACTTAACCTGGTGGTATAGAAAATTTATACACTGATAGTGCACAAAACTTAAATTCTACAAAAATTAAAATATCATACATCTCACCACTCCTTTGTTACATTACATGTGTGAAAAAAAATACTTAAATCATCTCTCATTCTTCCTTAAACAACATTCTGACTTCTATCTAACAATACTTATTTTGAAGATGTTTTTGTAACAACAGTTCCTCCGGTGTTTGTCAATCACATTTTGTGGGCAGACATCGCAGGAACTGTGTTTGAAAGGAAAACAACGGACTGTAATAGTAATATCAATAGTACACTAAAGGGGGGTATCACATACCCACCCACAAACCCTATTTTTGTACACCCTAACGGGTAGTTGGTTTTAATTATAGTATGCATCCGTTTAATCAAAAAAAAAAAAAAACTTATTTTCTTTTCCCTTTCTTTGCCTTCTTTAAGAAGCAAGTCCTACATGTACAATTTTTGCATAAATAGCATTCACATTGCTCTTTTGCTCATATCAAATATCTATGTTCTCCAAAACAGCGGCGGAACCACAATTTTCATTAAGGGGTGTCAACGTATAGCAAATATACATAAATCAAAAAAAATTATCTAGCAATACTAAGTAATTTTCCGGCGAAGGGGTGTTGATTGACACCCCTTGGTTGAATGTGGCTCCGCCACTGCTCCAAAAAGGTTAACAAAGCATAAAATGTATCCACTTCAAAATCACTAAATCTAAATGTTATACCTGCTTCTGCTGCTAACAACACTAAGCTAACAAAATTAGCAGTCAAGTCTATGTAGACTGTTGTGATGTTTCACTATTTTCCTCTGTTGCTGGTGGTGGAGGAAATGATGAATCAGCAGACGCGACGTTTGTCTTCGGAGGGCTGTATTTTTTCAGTAGCCTATCTTTGTTTTCCTTCCACCATTCTTCTGCTTGTTGCTCCGCGAACCTCCGTTTACTGCACGAAATTGTCCAATCAACAAACAGTACAAAGATGTTAATTAGGTACTCCCTCCGTCCCAGTTTATGTGATGGTTGTATTTGACGTATTAAGATGACAAGAAACAGTACAAACTTGTGGTCGAAAATAGGTCATAGGCATTTCTGTAGCTATACATCGTTTTACACGTATAAAGTTAAACTGTCTCTAAATATAGAAATGTGTCACTTTGTTGGTACCTAGTTTATGTGATGGTTGTGTCTGACATACAAAGATGTTAAGAAACAGTACAAACTTGTGGTCGAAAATAGGTCATAGGCATTTCTATGGCTATTCATCATTTTACACGTATAAAGTTAAACTGTTTCTAAATATAGAAAGGTGTCACTTTGTTGGTACCTAGTTTATGTGATGGTTGTGTTTGACATACAAAGATGTCAACCAACAGTACAAACTTGTGGTCGAAAACAGGTCATAGGCATTTCTGTGGCTATACATCGTTTTACAAGTATATAGTTAAATTGTTTCCAAATATAGAAAGGTGTCACTTTACTAGTATAGACTAAAAAAAGAACGTGTGTCACATAAAATGGGACAGTGAAAATAAAAATAAAAACTATATAGGACTCATTCTTAAAACACTGATGGTTGTGTTTGACGTACAAAGATGTCAACCAACAGTACAAACTTGCGGTCAAAAACAAGTCATAGGCATTTCTGTGGCTATACATCATTTTACACGTATAAAGTTAGATTGTTTCTAAATATAAAAAGGTGTCACTTTGCCGGTATAGACTAAAAAATAAAGTATGCCACATAAAATGGGACAGATGGAATACAAGTTATCAAATTTTAGTTTAGCAACAAAGAGATTTTAGTGAAATACCTGAACCTAACGCGCTTGAAGATCTTGGTGCCATTTGTAAGTTGAAGTAGAGTAACATAGACACCCGGTTCAAATTGTTCAATAACTTCCTTTTGTCCCTCTCTCTGAGCTTTAGGTGACCCCGAGACACTTTCCGTGCTTGATTGTCCGGTATTTTCACGTATAGTTCCATCAGCATTATGTGATGTTTCTTGAACTCCAGCAGCATCCCATTGATCATTTCTAATGACAGACTCAGAAGATAGATTATTTCTATGTGTTGGCTTCTGTTGACTATAAGACATGTCGGGTGGCAGAGAAGCGTTGTCTTCAGATGCTTGATTCGCGAATGTATTAAGAAAAGATTCCACTTGAGTTTGTATGGATTTAAGGGCTGAACTCTCAGAGATATCAGGAGGTAGTTCTTGTGTCATTTCTTTCAACTGAATAACAAAAGACGCGATAACACGCTCCATTATCATGACATGAATGCTTTCGCAATGCACAAAAAAGTATAAGCAAAAAACTTAATACAAGACAGAACAATTTCTATGAGTTCTAATTTTTTGTAAGAAGAATATGTAAGTTTCAATCCTAGGTATGTAAAATCAAGATATCTTCTGCGGCAAAGCTCATGAAAAAACTTCTATCCTAATTCTTATAGTTGAAGGGGGGCCTTGGAGCAACAGTAAGATGTCTCCGTGTGACCTATAGGTCACGGGTTCGAGCCGTAGAATTAGCCACTGATGCCTACATTAGGGTAGGCATCCTACATCACACCCCCTTGGAATGCGGCCCTTCCCTTGGCCTGCTTGAACGCGAGATGCTTTGTGCACCGGGTTGCCCTGCCCTAATTCTCATAGTTATATGCATGTATGATAAGCATAGATTCCTATATTTTCTTTTATGTAGACAGTTCAGGGTTCAGGGTTAAGGACATATGTGCATTTTGCTTTATCGATATAACATAGATCATAAGTCAAGCATAAACAGAAGA